ATTTTCCTCCTTTGACAAGTGAGACTACCGGTACATCAAAAGCTTGACTTTAGTGCATTAGTCATCATATACCCACATGTCATTTCAACATGTCACATTGGAAACACATACTTCTAATGATACTTAAACAACGTAACTTCGTTTGATAAAGCTGCTTGCCGTTCTTTCCTTAAACTGAGTTACAAGTGGAAATAATTGATGTAAATAAAGATCTTCATCTTCACCTTAACTGTGCACTTTTACTTAGTTTGAAAAAAAAATACTCCAAGATATGAATACACAAGTGACAATCTGCATTTCCTGAGTGGAGGCTTTGCAAGTGACTTTAAAGACCAACCTCTAGTAACAGGGTTGAGTTCCTGCAGTGGCAAAAATTCATAGAAAAACTGATCAAACAGATTACACATCATCATTTCCTAATTTGCCCCCCCCCCCCCCCCCACACACACACACACACTGACGTGTCTGTGACCGCGGTGTCAATGCAATGCCAATTCAATATAAGTAGCAGAGTCAACTTTTATGCCCAAGCAGACAGTCGGAGAGACAGAGAGCGAAGAGACAGTCTCTTTCAAAGACAAGGGAGACATGTGGACCTTCAAGATGAGGCACTCTACACTGCAGGTGATGCTGATGATGCTGATGGTGTGTTCAGCACCAGGAAACAGGGTGCCTCAGCCTAACCAGCGTAAAATGATACTGCACAAGATTAATATCACCGTTGAGAAATTATTAAAGGAGGAGGTGAGAAAGTACAAACTTTATTTATGCGATTGTTTGTTGCTGATGTAGTTTCCAACATACTGATATGTATTTATCATTTCAGTTCAAGAATATAATGGTGGTAAAGCCATTATCAAATTCGCACAATTGCCCGGTACGTTAAAAACTTTTTTTTTAAATTATTATTTAATTACCAGTTTAACTCATTCAGACTTGACGCAATGTAGAAGTGTTTACATTTTAAGTCTTTTCACAGCTATTATCATAATCAAAGTAACAGCAAAGCAGATATTTGACACGTAAAAATAAGAAAATAACTGTTTCTTTAAAAGGTCCTAAAATTTCCCTATTTTGAAATTAAAGTCTGAATGATTTAGGAGATGTAAATAATGTGTGCTGAAAATAATTACGTGTTACCCTCTCCTTATAGGAAAACTTCTTCTGTTTGGCTGAGAAAGTCATGGCTGAGAAAGCTAAGGAGGAAAATGCGGAGACAAACAAGGACCTTACAATACTAACCAACAACTTCAAACAATACAATAAGGTAGGAAACAGTTCAGCTCGATTGTTGCAAAGATATCCAAATGTTTGCAGCAAATCTAAAGTCATTTAGTGTGGCAATTAATATGATTGTTGCTCACAAAATGTGCTTTGTGTAAGGTACTGATAGAAGATTTGTAATTTTCCCAAATTAATTTGTTTCAGCATTGTTCTACCAACTGCACACTGAACACAGACCATAGGTACCATCTACGAGCGTTTCTGGGAGAAGTGCAGAAATGTGTGAAATACTTCTTATACAGCAAAACACATAAAGAAATGAACAAGGACTGTTAAACACAATAATGAAAAGTTATTTATTATACTATTTATGATTTTATATTTTTGACATGTATTGTTTATTTTTTGTAACTCAGCACCAATAAATAAATAAAATGTGACAGTGATCTGTTGGAGTGGTCTGTAAATCTGACAGCCATTTAAAGAACGTGAGTCTGTGTCTACGTTGACATTAAAGGGGCAGCTGTGGATGAGTGGTTAGAGCGGTCGTCCTCCAATGCAAGAGTTGGGGGTTCGATTCCACCAGCAGTCACATGCTGAAGTGTCCCTGGGCAAGACAATGAACCACTCATTGCCTCCGATTTGTGTCCCATCGGTGTATGAATGTGATAAAGCACTGATTAATCTTTGTATAGACATAGTTGAGTGCTGTATGAATGGATAAAAGCTAAAAACTTGGACCAAAGTTATTTATTTTATATGTGAATGACTTAGTGAATGTATCAGGACTCCTCAAACGTGTCCTTTTTGCAGATGACACCACATTTTTTTGTTTGGGTAAAGATGTAAAACGGATGTTGGAATTGATGAAGACAGAATTTGACAAAATACAAATTTGGTTTAAACTTAGTAAATTATCATTAAATTTAGATAAAACTAAATACATGATATTTAGTAACAAAAAGAGAACTGTTGATGATCCATTTAAAATTGAGGGTGTTGAGATTTGTAATTTCGCCATTGTATGGAAACATACAGTGCTGACATTGTGATGACATTATTATTATTATTATTATTATTAATGAGATGACATTTTTGGATGTAATCATTGATGAACAGCTAACATGGAAAAATCACATAAATTCTGTAAGAACAAAAATATCTAAATCTATTGCAGTACTTTACAAAGTCAGGGAATTATTAAATGATAAAGCTCTGTACATGTTGTATAACACAACCATTGTTCCACATTTAATCTATTGCATTGATGTTTGGGGGAAAGCATGTAAAACATTTACAAAACCTATTTTTATTTTACAGAAAAGAGCTGTAAGAATCATCACTAGGAAGCATTACTGTCACCCATCAAGCACATTATTTTATCAACTGAAGTTATTGAAGTTCCATGATTTGGTAGATTATAGTATTTTATCTGTTATGTATAGGGCTCAAAATAACACATTACTATTAAATATCCAAAGAAATTTTGTTAAAAGACAAAGTTGTTATAATTTTAAGGGGATAGAGATATTTGTCAAACCAAAATTCAGAACTAGTCTGAAGGGAAGGTCTACCTCAATCCAAGGAGTTGGATTGTGGAATGGTCTAGAGAGTGATGTGAAAAATGCCAAGTCAATGTGTACATTTAAGAAAAAGATCAAAACTGAATTGTTAAAATATATATATATATATATGAAGTAGCTTAGTGTGTTTTTGTATTAGAATTAGAAAAATTAGAAAGCTATTCATTTTGTACTGTTACTTGAAGATTATTATGATTGAACCAATTGTTTGAAAAAAGGGGCAGATATAATAAGATTTTTTCTTCTTTCTGCTGCCTTTCATTTTAAATCTCTTGTATTTTTTTTATATAGTTATGAAACTGTTTTGTATTTTTAAAATTAATAAACTTTATACCATACCATACCATAAATGAGGGCACAGATTGTAAAGAGCTTTGAGTATCTTCATAAGATAGAAAGGTGATATATACAGTGCCTTGCGAAAGTATTCGGCCCCCTTGAACTTTTCAACCTTTTGCCACATTTCAGGCTTCAAACATAAAAGATATAAAATTTTAATTTTTTGTGAAGAATCAACAAGTGGGACACAATTGTGAAGTGGAATGAAATTTATTGGATGTTTCAATTTTTTTTAACATATAAAAAACTGAAAAGTGGGGTGTGCAATATTATTCTGCCCCTTTACTTTCAGTGCAGCAAACTCACTCCAGAAGTTCAGTGAGGATCTATGAATGATCCAATGTTGTCCCAAAAGACTGATGATGATAAATAGAATCCACCTGAGTGTAATCAAGTCTCTGTATAAATGCACCTGCTCTGTGATAGTCTCAGGGTTCTGTTCAAAGAGCAGAGAGCATCATGAAGACCAAGGAACACACCAGGCAGGTCCAAGATACTGTTGTGGAGAAGTTTAAAGCCGGATTTGGATACACAAAGATTTCCCAAGCTTTAAACATCCAAAGGAGCACTGTGCAAGCAATCATATTGAAATGGAAGGAGTATCAGACCACTGCAAATCTACCAAGACCCGGCCGTCCCTCTAAACTTTCATCTCGAACAAGGAGAAGACTGATCAGAGATGCAGCCAAGAGGCCCATGATCACGCTGGATGAACTGCAGAGATCTACAGCTGAGGTGGGAGAGTCTGTCCATAGGACAACAATCAGTCGTACACTGCACAAATCTGGCCTTTATGGAAGAGTGGCAAGAAGAAAGCCATTTCTCAAAGATATCCATAAAAAGTGTGTTTAAAGTTTGTCACAAGCACCTGGGAGACACACCAAACATGTGGAAGAAGGTGCTCTGGTCAGATGAAACCAAAATCGAACTGTTTGGCCACAATGCAAAATTATGTTTGGCGTAAAAGCAACACAGCTCATCACCCTGAACACACCATCCCCACTGTCAAACATGGTGGTGGCAGCATCATGGTTTGGGCCTGTTTTTGTCAGCAGGGACAGGGAAGATGGTCAGAATTGATGGGACGATGGATGGAGCCAAATACAGGACCATTCTGGAAGAAAACCTGTTTGAGTCTGCAAGAGACCTGAGACTGGGACGGAGATTTATCTTCCAACAAGACAATGATCCAAAACATAAAGACAAATCTACAATGGAATGGTTCACAAATAAACGTATCCAGGTGTTGGAATGACCAAGTCAAAGTCCAGACCTGAATCCAATCGAGAATCTGTGGAAAGAGCTGAAGACTGCTGTTCACAAACGCTCTCCATCCAACCTCACTGAGCTTGAGCTGTTTTTTCAAGAAAGAATGGGCAAGAATTTCAGTGTCTCCATGTTCAAAACTGATAGAGACAGACCCCAAGAGACTTGCGGCTGGAACTGCAGCAAAAGGCGGCGCTACAAAGTATTAACGCAAGGGGGCCGAATAATATTGCACGCCACACTTTTCAGTTTTTTATTTGTTAAAAACGTTTGACACATCCAATAAATTTCATTCCACTTCACAATTGTGTCCCACTTGTTGTTGATTCTTCACAAAAAAATTAAAATTTTATATCTTTATGTTTGAAGCCTGAAATGTGGCAAAAGGTTTAAAAGTTCAAGGGGGCCGAATACTTTCGCAAGGCACTGTAAATACAGTCCATAAATCATCAAGTCCATGCTGGATGTAAGTTTCTGCTTTCTAAAGCAGTTGTGTGATGCTAAGCTACGCTGGTTTGTAACAACAAGAAAATATCAGTGATTTAATCATGACACAAAAAGGAAGAGCATCAACAGTGAGCTGTGACTGATATAATAATTTAATAAATAAAATCCAGAGGTTTGTTGGTGTAAACATTTGACATACAGTATGATAAAAATGAAACTCAGTTTGCATTCACTACAGAACACCATGAAATCAAAAACCCTATACCAGTGCAATATTTAGATAAAAACTAAGGCGTACGTTACATATGGTGCATCTCACAAGCGTTCAGAAATGGACATGTGACTTGTGTAGAGTAAGAAACGGCAGACATAAGAGCTGAATGGCATGCATGCTTCAATGCCTCTGACCTAAAAGGAAAGCACACTTTAAATATAATTTACAATGATATTTTGATCGTCTTGATTTCAACTGAACTTCACAATAAAGCCTTTGCTCAGATTAGTAGTATAGTTTGGTTTCAACTGGGATATAGTGACTGCATTTTCAGTGGTTCGTTTAATTTTAATCTATCGACCGTATTGCGGAAAAAGATCGGAACATTTGTGTTTATCTCTGAGAGGTAAACTGTGTGTTAACGCAGCACATTTCAGAAAATATGAGTGCTTTGAAGTTTGTAGGTCACTTACGCAATTTCATTTTCAACAGCCAGGCTAACTGCGTCTTGTGGATTTGTTCATCAATGTGAAAATGCAGAAATCTAAAATGTGATTCCTCAGATTGATCTCCCTAAACGGTACAGAATCAGGTTGTTTGTCCATGCGGTTTCATCTCACTAAAGGTGCAGCTTGTTCACATTTAAAACCTTACAGTGTACACAAAAAAAACCTTCTATTGTTCAACCAGAAGCAGGACTAATTACTTTTTTTTAAATACATGAAAGCTGTGAAGTGCGGACCTCCTCTTGAGTGTCATCACTGTAAAAGGGACTCGATGACAGCATCTGGCTTTGCAGATCTTTTCCTGTGTGGAGATGAGTACATAATGATTATCAACACTTTTAGAGGTCTTTGAATGTCATAACTTCTCAGAAGTGCAGCCCAACATAGTAACTGGAAATTATTAATTTTTATGTTCTTTTTTATGGTGCGGTGACTTTTGATGTGAACTGATGCTATATAAAGAAAGTGAATTCAAATGAATTAATAAAACTAAAAATAATCCATTATGTAACTTGGGAGTGCCCATTTGCACTTTTTGTCACTTTATGCTTGGCAAATCAGAAATAATCTAGAATAAAAAAGCATATCGGCAAAACTGCAACCCAGAAATACTGGAAATAAATCAAACTGGTTTAAGCACATTAAAATACTGATAAATATTTTCAGATTCAATCCTGCAGTTATATGCTTTTATCTGTCCAGTCTCATATAAAGAACATAATTTTCAACTCCTAAGGCGATATTGTTTTTTCAATTGAGACTGAAGTTTTCAAAATGTTATTTTATTATAAAACTTTTATTAGACAGTTGTGAGCTTTTCAGGAAACCTAGTTTAATGAGGCGCTTGAGTAAAAAAAGCCTTTGGTTTACATGGGTTGAGAACAAATTTCAGCAACTGAAATAGAAGTTTAAACAAAAAAATCTTCATGAAAGACAAAAGTACTAATTACTCTGTCCGAGTGTAACTACTGTCCTGCAAAATAGGGGGCGGAAACAAACTTTTCTAACAGTTTCCTCTTATAATAATGGAAGATTACATCGAAGTTTCACTGAAATCGATAATTGTTTCCCGGACTCTAGCAAAAATAAACAGGAAAAAAATAGTTTTCTATTTAAATATGAAGACTAATACTAATCAACACGTGACGTATGCGCTGCAAGAATTATCGGACCCCTAATCAGTACAAATAGTGATTGACTTGATACCGGTATATACTTTTTCAAGTTCTAGCCTTACGGCAAACATTTGCTTTAATTTTGTTATTGTCATCCATGCAGAGAATAAAAGGACAACCAATAGTGATTTGAAGCTCGTCCATGAAAACACAATTCTACAACTGAGGTTCTGACACTCAACAAAAAAAGTATTATCACAATCAAATATGAGATTAATGAAAACAAATATGTCTCTGGAGGTATGAAAACAGGTCTGCTTCAGTCTGTCTGCCATTGGTTTTTGGAAACTTACCTGCGGCCTGTTTTGGGTCTGCCACTTTTACTACTCTTTGAGGTTCTGGGCCGCTCTAGTTTCATCAGTGACTGGCGCATACTCTCCTCTGTGTACGCAAGATAGACATGGGACAGATCCACCTCAAATGGCTGCAAGTAGAAGGGGCAAGAGAAGAAAGGAGTAAATAATGGAAAGAGATCTATAAAGAGATGAAAAATATCTACATTTGTTATTGGACAAAAACAACCTTCTACAACTCACATCTTTTTCTTTTTTGTCTGGAGCAGGGGTTTGTTTTCTCATGTTGTTTCCAGTGTAAGCCACACATTTCTGAAAGACATTAATCAAAAACAGAACAGATTCAAAATGAAACATTTATTTACAGCTGAAATGTCTAAAGTGACTGCACATCACTTTGTGGATCATCCATACAAACTGAACTCACCAGCTGCCATTCTCCAATATCCTCATTCCAGTGCACATAATTTTCTATCATCTCCTGCGAGGACAGCAAGAACAGAGACAGGTGTTCATTTTGTTTAATTTCATTTAGTTATTTAAAAGAACACTGCACATTCTTCAATACTTCTGCATTAAACAGCAGTATAACTGTGCTGGAATTAGCTCAGTAGCTAAATTTCACACATTGTCCTTAGGCAGGTAAAAAATACATAGTTCATAAGTGTACAAACAAAAAGAACTGATCTAAAAAAGTTAAATCTGGTCCTCTGGACATAAAAAAAACCCACCAAACAAAACAAAAAAATTGTAGAAACGTTTCTTCTCTCATCCGAAAGACTTCCTCAGTTTGAGGTGCTGTATTCAGCTCAGTCTTATAAATAGCACCCTCTCGCAGTGGATCAACCAGTTTGCTGCTGACAACCAAAACCAGCTGCTCAGCCAGCAGCAGCATCTTTTTCTACCTGGATTATTGAGCATGCGTCAGGAAAAAGAACTGATAAAACAAGCCACAGAATAAAACACATAAACGTTACATTCTATGTTACACACTTAAAATGGGCTTATTTTATGAGTGCATAAATGATTTGCTTTTAGCTTCAAGTTTTTACTCTGTTACAAAGTCCTCAACAACCTAGCTCCATATTATATTACACACCTTATTGTTACATATATCCTGATGCATGCTCAATAATCCAGGTAGAAAAATCTAATATGGAAATATGGAAAAATATGGAACAGTAATCTAAAAAAGTTAAGATTTAACTTTTTTAGATTACTGTTCCATATTTTCCTAACAGAGCACTTCACTCACAGACTACATGATTACTTGTGGTTCCTAGAGTTTCCAAAAGCAGAATGGGAGGCAGAGCTTTCAGTTATCAGGCTCCTCTCTTGTGGAAGCAACTTCCAGTTTCTGTCTGTGAGACCGACACATTGTCCAGTTTTAAGACTGGGCTTAAGTCTTCCCTTTATGATAAATCCTATAGTTAGGGTTGGCTTGGGTTTCGTGAGCTATCCCTTAGTTATGCTGCTAAACGCTTAGACTGCTGGAGGACAAAGTAACCATATTTTCTCACTCTGCTGCTGTCTTTACTTGCTCTATTCTAACTGTTTGTATTTGTAATTATTTTTATCCAACATTTTTCTGTCAGGTCATCTGGACAGTTTCTTTTTTTTTGTGCTGAAACGTTTCACCTTCTATCCAGAAGGCTTCATCAGTCAAGGAAACACACAACACAAAACTGATTCTTCCCCCAACAGCTTACTCCAAAGTGGAACAAACCAGTTATGTTGGTGCTAAGATGGTCTCTTTGGCATGACTCCTCCTCCGGTGCCGGCCCTCTTCCTCGCCGACAGTCATGTCAAACTGGTTCAAAACCAACAAAGTCCATGCTCAATAATACAAGCCAACAATTTTCAGTCAGGTGAACGTTTCAGCACAAAAAAAAAAAAAGAAACTGTCCAGATGACCTCACTGAAAATTGTTGGATTGTATACCTGGATTATTGAGCATGGACTTTGTTGGTTTAATCCAACATGTTTTTTTTGTCTTTCTTCCAATAGAAAGTACACCTGGACCTGTCATTCTATGCTTGTTTGTTTCTACTTCCCGTCCTCTCAAACCCAGTCAGTCGAAGCAGATGGCCGCTCGTCCTGAGCCTGGTTCTGCTGGAGGTTTCTTCCTATTAAAAGGAAGTTTTTCCTTTCCACTGTTGCCATTGTGCTTGCTCAGGATGGGATACTGTGACAAAGTGAAGATTCAGCGCAATTTGCTGGCTTCCTTGGATAAATAACTTTTACTAATTGGCTTTTTTTATGTATGTGAATGTTTCTGTTCAGTGCCCTGAGAGAATTCCTGTTGTGACTTGGTGCTGTATAAATTAACTGAACTGAACTGAAAAGAATAAGGAAGCTGCTTCTCATTTGTGTCTCTTGGTCAACTTAATAATTCAAAAGGACTAATTAGTTCAACGATAAGTTAAATATGCCTTCATTAATTAATAGTTACACCATAAGTAAAAAAATAAAAATAAAATCTGTATGACTTTTTGTGACTGTTTGTTGTTGTCGCTGTTGTCCATTGTTGTCATCATTCTTTGTTGAAATCAGATCTCTCTTGTAAATGAGTCCTCGAGGCTCAATGGGATTTACCTGTCTAAATAAAGGTTGAATGAAAAAAAAGTAATATTGAGAGAAATTTAAATAATCTCTATAGAGTTTCGAAACGTTTCGACAAAAAAGAAACCGTCCAGAGGACCTGACTTAATTTGTAGGATCTCTAATAAAGAGTGTTTGAAAACTTTCACACACTCATTTGTCCTGTGTTGCATCAAGTCTGGTTCCCTCAACTCTGCCAATTTAAGTATAATCTGGGTTCATAATTGCAAAAATATTTCATTTTCAGTGTAATTTATCTGCAATTTAAAAATCTAGAGTTGATGACGGTGAACTTAAAGCTGCAGCAGGCTGTACTCAACTAGCATAGTTTAAAATCTAACAAAATAATGTTGTAACATGTTCATGAACTTCAGACATTTCCTTTACCTTAACAGTGTGCACCATAGCTAACAGGAAATATGCAGCATTTCAGCAGAAACTTATTTAAACCGAGTTCAGTTATTAATCAGTGATTGAAAGATAACTTAACCACCTTTACCATGTCTGCTATCAGGATAAAGCCACAGTTAGTCAAACGGTTCCTTTCAAGTAAAAAATGCTTAGTCGGCTTTTACAAAGCTGTCATTACTGTCAAAGCTTGCAACCTTCTTAAAAAGTTCTTGATGAATTAACAAATATAAATATAATGCAGTTTGCATTGGGTATGTTTAGATTTCAATCAAATACACCTCATTCAAACATTCTAAAAGTTCAAGTCAGAAAAAAACTAAACAAAATAAAATAAAACCCTACAACAGAAAACAAGAATATTGTCATATTTGTGTGATTGTATTTGTTGATTACCCATAAAAAAGTATTTAAATCATTCAGTCCTACCTAGTCTTGTAATAATCCTTTGCCTTACTGACTTTTCAGCACAACAAAACTATGTGTACGTAGGGGTGGGCGATATGGCTCAAATATAATATTGTGATATTTCAGAGCATTCTGACAATAACGATAAATTTCGTGATATAACAAAAAAAAACAACAGAAATCATAGTTATTGATTTGACTAAATGAACTTGTTGCTTTTCACTATTATATCAAAACAACAACAACAATAAAAACAAGGGTTAATTTTACTGCAATTACTTTATTTAGTATTAAGTCTCCAAGTATAAAAATAAAAATGATCCTTCTGTTATTTAGATGGTAAAAGTCTGCACAAAATAAAGAACAAAATCCTCCAAAAACTAAAGTGCAGGTGCAGTTTCCCAAATAAACTAAATCAAATTAAAGCTTAAAATCTGTTGAGCATAAATGTAACATACAACGAAATATATGTAGCCTTTAAATGAGGTATAACTTCTAAAACTTGTGACAAATACTGAAAACAAATTAAATGCTGCCTGAAAGGACTGCTAATCAGAACCATCAGCCAATTTCCTGATCCCCAGGAAAGCAGCTGCTCTGGAGGTTTGAGCTGCACAGCTCCCAGTCTCTGTTAGTGCACACTCAGACTCAGGTAAGACTCCGCGGTCTGACTTGACCATAAATTGGTGGTTGATGCAGTCAGTACTTCCCCTACCATTATACAAGCGGGGTGCCCCGCTGCGTCATCAGAACCGAGCGCACAGACTACCGAACCAAGCTGCATGCACCCCCGCCCCACCCGCCTGCACTGACGTAACTCCAAGTTAGCAGTGCTAGCTAAAAAGCTAAAAGCAACGTCTTCCCTCACGCTGAACCCTGACACTGACCAGCTCAAAAACTGCTGGGACAAACAGCGCTCAGCTCAGATGTCTCCGTTCACGCCTTCACCTTTACAATTTGAATATCCCAGCATAATCCGCTGCGTGGTGGGATGACGTATTTACGTCATGAAATTAGCATATCATGATATAATTTATTTTCCCGGGCAAGTTTTTTTTACCCGTATTATCGTGGACGATATGATATGGCCCAGCAATATGTGTATGCATTTTATATTTAAACCTAAAATAGATGGTGTTTTTACAACAGAGGCATCAGATTCCACAAATACAGAGCAAGCCCAAAATAAAAAAAAACGTGAGAATCTCTAATGTTGCTTCAAGACAGATGAGGTCTTAGAACAAAAAATACCAGACTTCAAAGTCTACAAAAATATACAAATATGACATGGGTAAAAAACAGACCTGGTATTCCTGAGGGATGAAGTTGTCTATGATGAGCATTTGGAGACGCAGTTCTCGGCTCAGCTGGCGGATGTTTTCTAGGAGGCCCTCGATCTCTCTGTTGTGCTCTTGCTGTAGGTCTGCCATCTGACAAACAAAACATTACTCCAGTGAATGATCATACAACCATCTCTGAAACATCAAAAACTACAAATGTGGACAAACTTTAGTCAAGTCAAATTTATTTATAAAGCACATTTAAAACAGCAGCTGTTACCAAAGTGCTTAACAATGACGCACAGGGAGCTGGTGAAGGGAGGACAAAACAGGTGAAATGTGCTCAAACCTACGAGTTCCTGTTAATAGCTGAGCTGCAGCATTTTGGACAAGCTGGAAACGTGAAAGGGAAACCTGACTGACCTCAACATAAAGCACGTTACAGTATTCCAGCCGTGTTGTAAATGGACTGAACTTGTATAGCGTCTTTCTATCTGCTCAAGATACTCAAAGCGCTTTACACTACAATCTGTGCCCTCACTAACCCATTCAAAGAGCACTCTACTATATCCATCCATCCATCCATTATCTTTTACCCGCTTCTTCCATTTTGGGTCACAGGGGTCGCTGGTGCCCATGTCCAGCAATCACTGTGCGAGGGGTGGTGTACACCCTGGACGGGTAGCAAGTCCATCACAGGGCCACATAGAGACAAACGAGACAAACAATCATTCACTCTTTCACTCACACCTAGAGACAATTTAGAGTTACCAATCAGCCTAACATGCATGTTTTGGGTCTGTGGGAGGAAACTGGAGTACCTGGAGAAAACCCATGCATGCACAGAGAGAACATGCAAACTCTACTCAGAAAGGTCCCCGGACCGGGATTTAAACTGGCAACCTTCTCGCTGAGAGGCAGCAGCTCTACCAGTTGCGCCACCGTGCTGCCCTCTACTATATCTATACAGAGAATAAGTTGTGCTTTATCACATTCGTACACTGATGGGACACACATTGGAGGCAATGAGGGGTTCTGTGTCTTGCCCAGGGACACATCGGCATGTGCTGCTGGTGGAATCGAACCCCCAACGGGGGCGACTGCTCTAAATGCTCAGCCACAGTCGCCCCATCTAATGCATGGGACTATTTTTTCAAGGTCAGATCTGGTCAGCACACACTTAAGCTTAGAACTCTGCTTTAACTGGAAGAAGATTTTTTTGTAGAACAGAGTTAATCTGTTTAGAAAACTTGTGAGTGAAAAAAAGGGGGTCCAAGAATCGAGCCCTGTGGGACACAGGGACAGGACAGAGGCACTGACGCAGATACACTATTTCAAACCTTAACACAGAAACTCCTGTCACTTAGGTACAAACTGAACCATTCTAATGTCTGTAATACCAACCCAATGTTCTAACCTTGGTATAAGGATGCTGTGGTCAACACACACAGTATCAAAAGCAGCGATAAGGTCCAGGAGGACAAGTATTACAAACTGACCAGAATCATTTGCTAACAGAATGTCATTACAAACCCTGACCAAAGCTGTTTTAGTGCTGTGTAATTGCTTAAAACCAGACTGAAAGATTTCAAAGACTCCATTCTCATTCAAATACTCGTTTAGTTGAATTAAAAATATTTTTTCCTGGATTTTCAAAAGAAAGGGAAGTTTTGAGATTGGTCTGAAATTTGAGCAGGCTGAAGGGTGAAGTCCAGGCTTTTTTATTTAATGGGTTTGCTACTGCATGTTTAAAAGCATCAGGACCACACTTGTAGCAATACTGTTGTTTATAATGGCAAGAACAGAGGGTCCAATCAATGGTAAAACTCGTTTAAAAACGATAAAGGGATGGGGTCAGAAGGGGAACCTGAGGGTTTTTTATGACCAACATCATTTAAAACTTAAGAGTGAAATGGGTTTAAACTCATTGAAGACAGCTGAGAAAGGGATTCTTTAGAGAATCATTTTCAATTCTGTAGAAAGTATTTTTCACTTAGACACACAAAAAAATGTGCAAGTACAGGAATGTTGCAAAACTTAAATGTGCTGTGAAGCGGGGCATCCAGGGCTGCATAGTTTTGGTTCCTCTGTGAATAAGAAGGATACCGGTAATTCACAATTCAATTCGCTGACATGAGTGTACAAAAAAAAGGGCACTAAGCTGTATGAGTGGTAGATCAGGTGCACAGACGATTTTAAGGAACTGTGAAGCAAATTAGGCTATTGGAGGTGGAAGATTGGTTTTCTTCTGTTGCTGTAACAGCTGATGGGACATGGGAGAACCCCTGAAGCTGAGGTCCCAAATGGATTAAATTAAAATTGCTATTTATTTTGAAAAATACATAAATATATGTTATGCTTACTTCTGATTTAGCAGCCATTAGCATGGTCCATACTTTCTTCAGCTTCTTGGTCTTTCCTTGAGCCTCCTCCTGCAGGCTTGTGTACTTCTCCTCTATGTCTAAACGTTCTTGCTGTTTTAAGAGGGAGAAAAGGTCATGTTTATACCAAACGCAAAATCTTTTGCATCCAAACCAATAAAATCAGCAACATTGTGGTTATACTTGTACAGCCACTTCATTATGGTTAAAACATTGTGGTATGTAACAATGGTATCAGCTGCAATCAGCTGCAGCTTAGCTGGGAAAAAGACAGTTTCTACTAGAAGTACCGGTAGTTGAATATATATATACATATATATATATATATATATATATATATATATATATATATATATTTGCAGTTAATTGTAAAAACACTTCTTATTTATGTTATTTAACTGTAAATGTAGCTTTAAGTATTAAAATCAGGATGAATAGTAAACGATATTTAGTCACAAAGCTCAGATTTCCTACCACTAAATTATCATAAATCTGGGGTTTACGTTCCTTCTGTCATTGTGATTTTACTAATAATTGTCATTATTTAATTTGGTACAGAAAACAAGCAATAACTGTAGGTGGGTTCGTTGTTACTCGTTATGTGTCTTTATACCTCCTTTTCTTCTAGCTCCCTACGCAGCTGCTCCGCTCTCTTGCGGCGTTCTTCGAGCTCGTTATTCGATTCCTCCAGGAGCTTCTCCTGCTCCTCAGCCTTTGCAAGAAGATCCACTCCACCCACTATCACCTTCTTCTCTAAGGCTGATAATTTCTCCAGGAGGAGTTGATGCTCCTGCCTAAAAGTTTAAAGGTACCTCAAATAATTAATGAGTGACTTTCACATGCATGCATCATTTTCTAAATGATCAAACAAGCATTTTATATTTATTTTGACAAGACTTACTGGGCTTTAAGGAGGTCTTTCTCCCTCTTCTCCAGCTCTGCTCTGGCCTTGTTCCTCTCCTCCTCCTCCATGTCCAGCTTGGCCTCTAAAGCCTTTCGCTCTTCTTCAATCTTTGCCTGCATCTCCACCATCTTGTCAGCAGAAACCTTCTTCTTTCCTGTTTAAAAATGCAACCAAGTATACAATGGTCAAGAAATGACTTCTACTAATACAGTGATTTTAATACAGAACAATCATTCTTTAATGAGCTTTTAGCAGCATCAGTGTTGCATATTCTAGTGTTGTAGTACTCAAGACCGTTCTTGGTCTTGAAATCGGTCTCAAGACCACTTTTTGATGATCTTGGTCTTGTCTCGGTCTCGGACACTGAGGACTCGGGATTTTATTTCAAGACCAGTCAAGACTACCACTGTGGAACTATCACTAAATTACCAGAATATTGTCCAGTTTATTTGTTAACGTTCTTGTTTTTATTGGATGCAAAATGTACTGATTCAAATCCAAACGATAACATGACTCATTGCTAAATACATGTTTTTGTTACCGCTGTCACTCCCACCCCCATTCACTCGAGCGCGGTTCTGTACCAACAGAGCAATGTAGACAACAGAACGTAACATCACAACCAGGGGTGAAAGTAAGCTGGTACAGTCCGGTACTGTGTACCACTAAAATATTCTGTGCTGGTACACAATACCTGGAAGAGAGGGGAGAGGCTGTCTGCTGTAAAACCTCATTCAGAACCAGTCACGGCTGCACTTTGGATCAGAATAGGTTCTCTAGCAATAAGCAGTCTAAACCACGACTTAATCAGTTAATAAACAGCTTTTTTTCTCATTTCAAACTGTTTCAGAATTGTTCGTGCTCTGCTGGAGCCTTGTTTCTCTACCACGGTGAAGTTAGTTTTACGTTGGACATTGAACATTCGAGCTCCGTGGCTTCAGCGGTGTGTTCCTCTCGTTCGATCTGAAGCAGGCGGTCTGATTTTGGACAGCTTCACTCAGTCTGCCCCTCTTCCAAGATGTAATGGTTCGCTTAGAGACTGTCAACAAATTATCGAACCAAACACTCTTCAGAAACAAAAATTAATATCTTTTACATCATTTGACCCACTAACACAAATCTAATGTTAAACTACTCTAATAGACCTGACACACGAGACACCGTCATTTATTGCTCATTTTAAAGCATTTTCTAATTAGTTATTGAGTGAAAACCGTGATTTTAAACATGATTTTTAAACAAATAAATTATGTCAAATTAGAAAATGCTTTAAAATGAGAAATAAATGAGGGTGTCTCATCTGTCAGGTCTAGTAAAGTAGTTTAACATAAATTTTGTGTCAGTGGGTCACATGACATGAAAATTATTGTATAAAAAACACTGAATGTCTGATTTCTTTGTTATGTAGCTTTGAAATTTTATAAAACCTGATACATTAATTCAAACGCAAACTTAAAGTTTCAGTATGTAACTTTTATAATATATATATATATATATATATATATATATATATATATATATATATATATAAATAAAAGTTGCATTTTTTTTGTCTCCATATTTGTTAAAACTGTCACTATGTTGTGACAGTATAGTAAAAGACAGATAATATGTGAAAAAAAATTGAGCTCCAAGACTTGAGGTCTTGGTCTCAGACCCCAAAAGTCTTGGTCTTGTCTCGGTACACTCTGGTCTTGGTCTTGACTTGGTCTCGGGTTAGGTGGTCTTGACTACAACACTAGCGTATTCTTTGTAAATTTCATGTTTTGTAGTCAACTTTGCAAGACTTGTTGAGGACCGAGATTCCCTGGAAACACACAAGTCCTGAAACAGTAATAAACACTTACTGTTATTGTAATAAAAAGTATATAAAAACCTAGATTCAATTATATTTTGATGACAAAGGTGACCGTCATGAAGATGTAGAAAATCAAAACAATGCTTGGAAGTAACCTCCTTGATAATTATGGTGATTAGAGACACCTTTGCACAGAACACCAACATCATGTTCACCTTTACAACTTCTTTTTATGAATTAAGAAATGTATGGCAACTCAGAGGCATCATTTGCAGCAGGCAGACAAGTGAAGTGAGAGAAAGCAACATGTTACAAAAAGATCTCAGACGTTGTGAGTCTACAGAGCTGAACACTCAAAGCGGGCACAAAGATTATCGCTTACATAACGAAACATCATTGATGTGAGTGAATTGTGTCTTTGAGGTTCAGCTGATACGTTTCACACAAGAAAGACCATCAGAGGGGCAGGCCAGCACTGAGGATAAGAAATCATCATGCTGAAACATTATTTGATGTCAAAATTGGAAGTGTTTAACTGTGGGACACCATGAGAGACAAAGACAAAAACTACGCCCTTTTCACACATGCACCATAATTCATTTAAAAAACATTATTTTTGGTCAAATGTTTACAGATCGGTTCAACAATCAAAAGATCTTCTGTTACTGCACATCTCTCTAAGTTGAAAATACTTCAAGCTTTCCAATAATAGGTTTATTTAAAAAAAAGAAGAAGTCATAAATGCATAATTAATTACACTAAGAATACTGCTCAGTAACCTTTAGGAAATTTCACTCACTATTTCTCAATATCTATGATTTGGCAAAACATAAAAGTGACATGTCCAAAAATAAATAAACTCTGTGAATGACTCAAGCTGCAGGCTTGATGTCAAAGTATCAGGAAACCCCCCTCCCCCCCTCCCCCAAAGAAAACCACCTACATGCACATTGCAAAAAATTAATTTAAGGTGTTAATTAAATATGAACAGAAAAACTACAGAAAGAACTCCAGCAAACCAAAGAAGTGAAGAAACAATAAAAAAAGCATGATCTAATACATGTTTTTTATGAGAACTCTTTAGTGACAGAACAAAACCCTACAAGTCAAATGAAGTTTATAATAAATGTGATGAAGAGCATCTTTAAAAACATGTTAAAGGCTTAAAGTGGAGACAAGTCCCCCAAAGATCTACTTGTAAAAGTCATGAATGTAACGCTGGTCAGAAAATCAAGTGGCTCCAAAATCAACTTTCTAACAATGTCAGTCAATTATATATTGTCCAAAAAGGAAATGATAATAACTGAAGATAAATGTGTTGTTGTATTATTTACAGTAACATTCTAACTTTTAAAAGCTTGTGTGTGTGGAAAAGGCTCAGATCTGTGAACAGGTTGGTGAGCAGAAGCATTACTCTAACTCATTATCTTGAAATTTGTCGTCAGTGGGCAGAGGCTCTGAGGAAGTCTAGGTAATTTTTGATCTGATGAGCTGATAGTGCAAAGGAAACATTGGCTACCACAAAACCCACAAACTGAAAAGAACACAAAAGCAGAAGGTAAAAAAAAAAGGAAGTTCAGGAAAACTGTGGGTCTAATAAATGAACCAGTTTTGGGTGCTGGCATGAAAACTGCTGAGTCAGTCAGGGTAGATTGTTACTAAAATGGTGAATAATAAAAAATAAAATAGTAATCGTATCTATCTATCCATCTGCAGTTGAAACCAGAAGTTTACATACACTATTTAAAAAGACACATATGCATTTTTTCCACACTGCCGTGAAATCAGAATAAACTTTTCCCGTTTTAGGTCACTTAGGATTAACAACATTTTTTATATTTGCAAAATGCCAGAATAATGAGTGAGAATTTTTAAAGACAATTTTTATTACTTTCTTCAAAGTCAAAAGTTTAAATACACTTCATTAGTATTTGATACCATTGCCCTTAAACTGTATGACTTGGGTCAAATATTTTGGATCTCCTTCCACAAGCTTCTCACAATAGTTGGCAGGAACTTTGTCCCATTCCTCCTGACAGAACTGGTGGAACTGAGCCATGTTTGTAGGCTGCCTTGCTCGCACATGCATTTTCAGCTTTGCCCATAAATTTACAATAGGATTGAGATCAGGGTTTTGTGATGGCCACTCCAAAACATTGACTTCGTTATCCTTGAGCCGCTTTGTAACCAGTTTGGCAGTATGCTTCGGGTCATTGTCCATTTGGAAGACCCATTTGGATACAAGGATACAAGGATTTTTATTGTCATTCACATCACATGTAGTGCATGATGTGGAACGAAACTATGTACACTGGGTCCCAGTTTCATCCAACAAAAATACAAATTGTAAAGAAAAACATTAGTAAGATTCGAGTCATGAACTAAGAATATATTACATTCACTAAAACTGAGAATACACAAGACTAAGAAACACTAAGCACTAATGGTACAAAACAATGCGCCAAAACAACAGCAGCACAAGCATGAGTCTGTATGAGCAGATGAGGACTAATGAACACAGCAACATGAAATAATCAGCAGCATGAGATCAGCATCATGGATAGTCAGCAGCACATATCAACAACCAAGTGACATTACAGCAATTTTCACAGTTTTTTTTAATTTCACAGTGATTATCCTGTTTAGAGATTCATGAGTCTAACAGCCTCAGGGTAGAAGCTGTTCTTTAGCCTGGTGGTTCTGCACTTAATGCTCCTCAGCCTTCTGCCTGAGGGGAGCGGGGCAAAAAGTGTGTGTGTTGGGTGTGTGGAGTCCTTCATGATGCAGGTGGCCCTCTTCCGGCATCTGGAGGTGTAGATGTCTGTGATGGTGGGGAGACTGACTCCAACAGACTTCTGTGCAGCCTTCACCACTCTCTGCAAAGCCTTTCTTTCTGCAGCTGTGCAGCCTCCATGCCACACGTTGATGCTGGAGCACAGGATGCTCTCCACTGCACACCTGTAGAAGGAGGTGAGGACTGAGATTCCCAGACCAGCTCGTCTCAGCCGCCTGAGGAAGTAGAGTTTCTGACGATCTTTCTTGATCAGGCTGGTGGTGTTGTTGCCCTACCTGAAGTTGTCATTCAGGTGTACACCCAAGTATTTGTAGCTGGAGACCACTTCCACCACAGATCCTCCTATGTTTGGTGGGGTAGGTGTGTTTATTCCTTACGAAGTCCACGACCATCTCCTTGGTCTTATTCATATTGATGTGAAAGTTGTTCGTCCTGCACCAGCTCTACAGGTGTTCCACCTCCTGCCTGTAGCTGGACTCATCATTGTTTCTGATGCATCCAACTACCGCTGTATCATCTGCATACTTTACAATATGACAGCCTGGGTGGGTCAGTACGCAGTCATATGTTAGCAGAGTGAACAGGAAGGGGCTCAACACACAGCCATGGGAGGAGCCCGTGCTGAGGGTTATTTGTGCCCAAGCTTTAACTTCATGGCTGATGCATTGAGATGTTGCTTCAGTATTTCCACATAAAGTTCTTTCCTCATGATGCCATCTATTTTGTGAAGTGCAACAGAGTCCCTCCTGCAGCAAAACAACCCCACAACATAATGTTGCCATCCCCCGTGTTTCAGTCGGGACGGTGCTCTCAGGCTTGCAAGCTTCCCCCTTTTTCCTTCAAACGTAACAATGGTCATTATGGCCAAACAGTTCAATTTTAGTTATGTCAGACCACAGGGCACGTCTCCAAAAATTAAGGTCTTTGTTCCTGTGTGTATTTGCAAACATTAATCTGGCTTTTTTTTAATGTTTCTTTTGAAGTAATGGCTTCTTCCTGGCAGAGTGGCCTTTCAGCCCATGTCGATACAGTACTTGTTTCTCTGTGAATAATGACACACTCTTACCAGCTTCATCCAGCATCTTCACCAGGTCTTTTGCTTTTGTTTTTGGGTTGATCTGCACATTTTGAACCAAAGCATGTTCATCTCTGGGACACAGAACCCGTCTCTTTCCTGAGCGGTATGATGGCTGGACATTCCCATCTTGTTTGTACTTGTGTATAATAGGGCATTAACAGAGTACTCGAGTAATCTACATATCGATTGCTAGGACATCTATCGAGGTTAAAAATGTAATGTCGAGTAACCGTAGTGATGTCATATTATGTGACCACTGTATGACCGTACGGGGCGGTGTTGCACTGTTGCAGGTCACAGAGTATGGTGTAACACCGGGTCCAATCCACCGCCCATCCACTGTTTTAAGTTTAGTTTCTGACGTGCTTAGTTTGCAGTTTAATAATAATAACTAATAGTTTAGTTTTTCCTGTGACTTATTTGCAGTATGATAAATGGTAGGAGCATAATATACACTCCCAATGTTTTGTTGGTCTTTTTTTTGTTGTAAATAATTACCTTTTATTGCGGTTTTATTTATTTATTTTTGTATCTTGAGATCTATGACGTCATCAAATACTCGAGTTCTACTCGGGTTTTATTATGTTAATGTCGAGTTTAAAAATTATATACTCATTCAACCCCTAGTGTATAATTGTTTGTACAGATGAACGAGGCACCTTCAGGCATCTGGAAACTGAACCTAGGATGAACCAGACTTGTGCAAGTCCACAATTCTCTTCCTGATATGTTGGCTAATTTATTTGGACTTTCCCACAATGTTACATAAGGAAGCAGTGCGCCTCATGTGTTCCTTAAATTACATACACAGAGTTGCATTTGGGTCTAAAAAATCCAACCCGACCCAGCCCCAGTCCATAGCTATTTTTTCTGGACCCGACCTGATCAAATTAACTTTAATTACAGGCCTGAGCCCAGAAAAAAAAAAAACGACGTTGTTTTTATTAAACTTTTAATGCTTTTGTAAGCAAACCAGTTTGACATAATATTTTAAAAACTCATTTCAAAGAAAGGAAGTTATAAGATTTCTTGTTTCACCATATGGATATTAACATACAAAACAAACAGCCTAAAAAATCAACTCTAAAGACAGGCTATTATTATACAGATGAACAAAAATATTTTAGAGCAAAAATTATTTGGAAAAATATAGGACAAGGGTATTTTAATTGAACGCGCCGCTCGCTTCAGCTTTTGTAGCTTCTGATGCTGCAACTTCCCTCACTGCAGATGACAGCAGGTGCGGAGACGTGCGCAGCAGGTGATCAGCAAATCCATCCATTATCTTTACCCGCTTCTTTCTTTTCAGGTCACAGGGGTCACTGGTGCCCATGTCCAGCCATCACTGTGTGAGAGGCGGGGGACACCCTGGACAGGTCGCAAGTCCATTTCAACCGGCGGGTCAGCGGATGCGCGCAGCCGGTGATGAGTTGTTCATCTGAGTTTAACGCAACTTTTTTACCTATTTCAAACAGCCGGTTGGACCAGCCTCCTCCTCAACTAGTAGATTAACACAATTTTATATTGTGCATTCTTATTTAGTTTTATTTGTGCTGTATATTCGTAAAACTGTATCAAACCCCGAGACCGGCCCGGCCTGCACATTAAGCACATTATTATGGCCTGGGTTGGGCCAGGCCAGGCTTCGGGTTCGAAATGACAGCTCTATATCCACAGGTGTGTCTCTACTTAACTCATATGTTATCAATAAACGTATCAGAAGCTTTCAAACACATGACTTCAAATGTCCCTAATTGTAAAGGCATAGTAATGTTAGTGTATTTAAACTTTTGACTTTGAAAAAAGTAATAGAAATCGCCTTAAAAAATTCTCACTATCATTACTCTGGCATTTTGTAAATAGAAAAAATTTTGGTAATCTTAACTGACCTAAAACGGGAAAAGTTTATTCTGAGTTCATGTCAGACAGTGTGGAAAAAAAATGCATATGTGTCTTTTGAAATAGTGTATGTAAACATCTATAGATACACACACTGGTATATAAAAGTGACAAGTGAAAAACAAAGAAAGGCACCATTTTTTAAATGATGGTTAAAGAGGAACATTAACGTTAACTGTGCAACAAAACAGGATGACTGAAGAATTCTTCACTTTTAACACATCCCACTTGTAGTGCAAAAATAAGGTGAAAATACTAGGGGAACTCCTAAATGAGCACACTAAACCATTTTTCAGACTTAAGGTAAAGGCACTGTAGAACCCTCAAAGCACCTTTATCTAGATAAATCTGAGGAAGTACTGACTAAAATTGGAATTATTGTGATTAAGAAATCTAACATATGCATACTACGCAGATGATTATCTAGACACGTAATAAAACCTCACACCAAACTAAACTGTATCAGCAGATTATTTTTTTGTCACAATGATCACTTTGCACAAATTCTTACCCCTTCTCCTCCTGCGACCTTCTCCTGTTTCACCTGTTTCATCTTCACCTTCATCCATTTCCTCTGATCCACTGCCGTCAGAACCAGAGATCTCTTCACCTTAGATTTGTCCAGAACAAAAACACATGTAAAAATTTAATAATATATTTTCACTTCAAAGTTAAACATTAATTATTTGCCTTTTTACCTTCTTCCAGTTTCTTTTTCAGCTCCTCGATCTCTTTCTGAAACTGCCGTAGCAGAGCATCCTTTGGATCCTCGTTGATTCTGGCTTTGTTCTTGATGTTTTTAGCTCTATTAGCATAGCGCAGGGTACTGATGGTCTCATCGTAGTTGTAGTCTGCAGGGCCAATATTTGCACACTGGTGGGGAAAATTTGGCAAATAAAATATGAGGTAAAAACTGCACAAGACCAGTTTGATTTAATTAAACTGAACTCTGGTCTGTTCACTTGAGCCAACCAAAAAAATTATAATAAAACCAAACAGACCAACTTCAAAACTTTGTGAGATTTTAGTGAGAATTCACGAGCTTGCTTGCAAATTGTGTTTGGTTGTAAACAGTTCTAGTCAAAGTTTTATAAAACATGTATGTAAAATATGACACCAGAGAAAATATTTCAAACTCAAGGTGTACCATCATGGTCTTGGAGTTTCCTCCCAGTGAATCCTGCAACAGGCGGGTCAGTTTTGAGTTTCTGTAGGGAACATGAGTGCTCTTGCCGTCCACCAGGGCAGAGATGACGTTCCCCAGTGTGCTGAGTGAGAGATTGATCTTCGTTGCTTCCTTCAAACGCTGCCCTGTGGCTCCAGTCTTGCCCTGTCTTTCTGAACCCTGCGGGGAAATGTAGGATTCGATTATTCACAAATAATCTAAGATTGAAAAAGAGGTTACATCTATGTTGTCACATTTTTGTGTTGTTTTTGTTTACGTACTGCCAAATCAACCAGGTGCAGCTTTCCCATGCGCACGTGCTGGTTACCGTCTACACCCTTCTCACTGCACTCGATGGTGATGGTGAAGATAGCATGAGAGCGAGAGCTGTGCTCATTCATGTTTGTAGCCCCAACAGATCCTAAACATAAACATAACCAGTGATTGGACACTTAACTAGATTTTGAAATGAATACTATTAGATTCTACAAAACTTAATTCATAAAGTGTTTAAGATTCTTTAAAGTTCATTCTTTTTTATTTCCTAAAATAAATAAGATCTCTGTTTTTACAGAGTTAACTCCTTGATGTGTGTAAGGACATGTTTCTGTAATCTGTGAGTTGTTCTGCTTACGGTTTTTGTGACCCAGTGACATAATCCTGTCCATGTCGTCAGCATTGTTCACCACGTAACCAGAGAGATCCTTGATATAGACACCCACATCTGGCCTTTCTTTGACCTGATGCAACAAAGATCTTCATTAGAAAACCCCCACAACACCTATTACAAATAAGTTGAGACATAATGTAAATAAAAACAGAATGCAGTAAGTTGCCAATCTCATAAACCCTTATTTTAGTTCACAATAGAACAAAGTAAACACATCAAATGTTTAAACTAAGAAGTTGCATCACTTTATTTGCAAATGGCAATTTTTTATTTTATGTATGCAACACATCCAAAGGAAAAAAAAAGTAACAACAAGGCCATGTTTACCACTGTGAAGCATCGTCATTTTAACATCAGTCTGAAAACGTCCAGAAAATGAGGAAAGTTGCTGGAATTTTTTGGAAGGGAACGTTGTCTCATTCTGTCTAACGTAGGATTCAAGCTGTTTAATAGTCCAAGGCATTTTTCTGCTGGAGTTATTTTCTTGATGATTTCTTTTAAACCCTGTAAATACTATTCTGCATTAACAGTGCCTTTTCAGATTTGTAAGCTGCACATATCAGAGACACTAACACAGACAGCCCCATACAGTCAGAGAAGCAGACTTTTGAACGGAGAGCTGATACCAGGCAGGATGGGCCCTCTCCTCTTTAGTATGAAGAACATGACGTCTGTAGTTTTCAAAAAGATTTTCAAAATTGAATTTATCTGACCATTCACATTGCTTTTAGGTCATTTAAATTAATTGCAGCCCAAATAAGATGGCAGCATTTCAACATGTCGTTCAATTATGGATTTGTTTTTGTATAAGAGCTTAAATCAACATTTGTGAACTACGTTTGGGGCTGTGGTAGATCAGTGTTCACTGCTGCTGTCTCACAAACCTGCCGCTGCAGGTTCAAACCCAGGTTGTGTCAGGAAGAGTAAAACAATTGCCAAATCATATGTGAGCTTGCTCACTGTGGCGCCTCCTGTAGAAAGGAGCAGCTGACAGAAAACCAACAACGACGATAAACAGTGTCTACAGATCATGATTTGGAGAAGTCTTCCTGAGCCCATGCACTGACATCCAGAACAGAATCAGACCTGTTTGAGGGTCATGGCCATCTTTTATTGACCTTTGGCCTTATCTGTTGCACAAAAAGATTCCCCTGATTCTTATCCAGATGCATGCGCAATAATCCCGGTAGAAAAAAAATCTAAAAAAGTTAAATCTGGTCCTCTGGACATTCAAAAAAAAATTCATCAAAAATCTCCAGATTCTTGAAATATTTTAAAGATATTATGAACTGTAGATGATGGGATATTCAGTCTTCCCAATTTTGTGTTAAGGGACATTTTTCTAAATCGGTTCCACAATTTTTCTTTGAACTGCTGAACCCCAGCCATTCTTTACTTTTGACAGATTCAGCCTCTCTAAAATGCTCTATTTATGCCCAGTCTTCTTACTGACCTGTTGTCAATTCACCTAATTTATTGCATAAAGCTCCTCCATCTGATTCTTATTTGTACCAGGTACTTTTACAGCCCTTTGTTGCCCCTGTCCCCCTTATCTGAGGTAGGTTGCTAAAATTAATAAAGATCTTATTTTTAAAATAATATTTAAGTGTTTGATATGGTTAAAATGTTATATTGTGAATAAAATATGGGTTTACAAATAAAATGATTGTTTTTATTTACATGTAGCACAACGGCCCAACTTTTTTGGAACAGTGGTTCTACAAAGCTTATACATTTTCTGCAACTTCCCACTCAGAAAAATGACTTGCAGTAAGTGCCCTTTAAGACAACTTATCAAAACCAGTGTTGTTAATCGGTGACTTTAAATTTTTTATTTGTTATCAGTCAATTAAACATCCTGTTACCTCAAGTCTCTGCATCTGGTCTTTGCCCAGCAAGTCCCGCACTTCTTCGTTGTAAATCTCCAAATACGAAACACGAACCAAAAATCTGTTTTAAACAAGTGAAGAAAAAAGAATTACGGGTGAAATATACAAATAATTCATGTAAATTATTCACTTGTGTCTTTAAGAGTTGTGCTACATGGAGATTTATACTCTGATCTGACAGCCTCAACCAGAAAAAACACAACAGCTTCAAGTGAGCAAATGAAGTACAGCTATGAGGGTTTGAGTCGTACCTGGAACAACCTTTAAATTGTATAAGGTGTAACACACGGCGTACCACCGTGTTGACTGTTGCTGTTAAATAGGACAATCTTAAAATGCAATTTCATACCAGGAGTTTTACTGGCTCAAAGACCTTGTCTCAAAAAAATGCCAGGAAGAGACAGAGCCAGTAAATTTTATGTATGGTTTACAAAATGTGGATGCATTTCAAGAGTATACTTGACAACAAAACTAGTTAACCACCCAGTTGTGTCACTTTCCGCAAATCAATCTGATAGTTTTCACCAGCCAGACTGCGTTCTGTCGGCTGTGGCTTGAAGTAGTAAGTTGAATAGAGCAAATGGGACGCAAGATTTTCAGTATGTTAGAAAAGTACACATTTAGAGATGCAGTGTTACGTCAAGCACACTCATTACCAAGTTGTGTTCAGATGACCCAAATGCAGAATGGCTTTGTAGGTGGGTTTTTTTTTTTTTTTTTTTAAACAGGAACTGATCAAACGCAGAGATTAAATTTATTCAGGTCATGGTTAGAACTTCTAACATATATTGTACAGTTTAAAATGTAAACTTTGTTACCTTTTCAAAACTGCTGAAGTTTCTTTATTTGATCAAATGCAGATGGGACAGCCTCTTTCTTACAACTTACTGATTACTGTCATTCTCAGGGAATCAATATCTTAAACATGTAGCAGTATGATGATTGTTCCTGCTCCCAATACCGTTTACAGAAGTGTAAATTGACTGGACAGGAGAAGGTGTTTTATATAAGCAGGTGTTCTTTTCTTGCTGTGATTCCCTCTTTATACGTTTGCCAACTGTCAATAAAATCAATAGAAGAAGAAGAAGATTCCCTCTTTGGTGTTACTGACTTCCAGGTTACCTGGCAGTGCTGCTGTGTGCGCCTGATCAGCATTCCACCATCACACCAGGTGGGTATGTATTTCCTGTTTCACTTGAAGTTGAAGTCTGGACTCGATAACTGATTTTATTATGACAGCTAGTACTCGGTGTGGTTTTGTCCACTAAATCTCATTCATTCATTAAACCTTTATTTAGACCGGTAAATCCCATTGAGCCTCGAGGACTCATTTATACAAGAGAGACCTGATTTCAACAAAGAATGATGACAACAATGGAAAACCGCGACAACAAATGTTGGGACTGAATTGTTTCCTTTCCTTCTGGGCGGTAAGTGTATTTGACCTTTGCACTGGCTGGCTACAATTTTTGCGTTATGCTGATTAATCTGTTTTTGTTCATGCGGTAGTGACTGGCATGTGATTCTCCTGTCACAGACGGTGTGACTCCTCTCCTCGGGTGATGTGATCAGCAGAAGTGGCATGTACACTCCGTTTTTCTGACATCCAATAAAATAAAAAACTTTAGTATAATGATACTTGTTTTTTTCCATTTACCCTTTATTTATACAGGTAGTCTCATTGAGCCACGAGAACTCATTTACAAGAGAGACCTGTTTTTAGGGAGCAGATGGTGGGGGTTAAGGGCCTTGCTCAGGGGCCCAGGGTGGGGCGAGTGAGGGTGGAGGGAGGTGTGGATGTTTCATCTTTTCCACCCACATTTTGATGTTGACGGTACCGGGAAGTGAACCTGCGACTTTCCCATCACAAGCCCATCTTCTAACCTCTGCGCCACCACTCCCCCATGATACTTGTGTTGCAGAGACAGATGTCAAGACACCCTGCTGTTTTGCTTTGCTCTGCTCATTTTGGTACAGTTTTGAATTGTTTTTGCCCCCCTCCCTTTTTTTTTATTGGGCTTACTTTGATTCGTTGCTCTGGGTCAGCTGGTTCAGTTTGATCCAGTGGTGTAGTCTATGTGATACTGGGCATACGAAGTATACCCACTAGAAAAGCTTGGGAATTTCAGTATACCCACTTAAACGTGCCCAATGATACATGACATTATTGGGCATGTGTCATTGTCAACACATTTGGAACATTTTATAGACACATTGAGTTGGTACAACCTGTTTTTTGTATAATACTTCAGTACTTACTACTTAATACATTTTGCTTTGATACTGTTATAAATTCTATAACATGTTTTTAATACAAAGCCAACTGTTGTACAAACTTTGTTGTAGATTTATTCAAATATAAACATAAGAGAAAGTTTGAAATGTCCAATATGCTTAAAAATCTAAATAAATTGATGATTACATTGCACTAACCAGTGTACTTTGGTTTCTAAGCACAGTATACCCAGTACATAAATGTAGACCACAGCACTGGTTTGATCCCAGCTATCCTTACTCTGCTCGGGCCTGCCTTGGTGGGCTTTCACAGCCTGCATGAGTCAACACAATCAGGCAGTGTCTTACCTGAGAGAAGACTGGCTGATCTAAATACTGGGGCCATTTCTGGTTATTTTGTATGCATGTGAATGTAAGGCTCGTGTTATCTTTTATTTTCAATTCTTACTTATTAGCATATTTATTGCTGTTTATTTAATTTCATTTTTTGTTCCAGGTGAAGGCTGAAGGTGGCAGTCCAGTCTGGTGTTGGTTCCCTTCCACTCCTGTGCCGTGCATCACAGCTTCTGGGTGAATTTCTGTTTTTATGTTGCCTTGAACCATTGTCTTTATTAGTCGACTGACTACTGGAAAGCCTCAGTCTTAGCTGAACATTTATTTTGTTAAGAATCACTACTGCCTCCATTAAAATTGGTTTTAATAAAGTGTTTAATACATTTTATATTCTATCTTGGAACACCATTTCCCGCTTACTTTGTGAATGAACCTAAGTGCATTTTGGTATCCAGTATAAATTATTGCATTGTGTGAAAGTCCTAAGGTGGCAGTGCTGCAAGTTAAAACAAAAAACATCCATATTCCCAGCCTTGCCACAAGTAGGTGTTAATACTGTCAGGACATAAAATAACATGCTCATCTGTAACACAGTTCACTGCGAGTTCAGGCGGGATCACATCTAGGCCTATCACAATAAACAATAAATCAATTAATCGCATGTTAAATGAAAAAAATCAACCTAATTTTCATTTATTGGCTTTATCGTTTATTTGCATTTTTCTCTTTCTATTGAAGACACTGGTTGACAAAAGGCTCAACTCCGGTGCTCTTCACTGACCCCCGCACTTTCTCTTTAAAATCTGTTTTAACCATCCAAAATTACGTTTTGGGATGGTTAAAAGCAGCTAAGCTGAGAAGCTAAGCTACAAGCTAAGCTAACAGGCCGACCTCGGGGAAAAAACCTCCATCTTGTCGAAGCTCCAAAATCACAGTTGAAACCCGTGCCTTTGTGTAAAGTTATTTTTCTCTGCAAAAAGAAGCTGAGAACTTATTTACAAATTTTTTTATTAAAAGCTTTGTGTGAAAAATACTACGCTAAAGAGCTCAAACCACACCGAGCATCCGCCATTTTGAGAACCGAAGAGAGACAGCCCATGGGGCCTCCCTCCCATTTTTCTTAGACACGCTGCTCCCTCACTATCCATTCTTCGGTTCAAACAGTCTTATACTGCCATCTAGAGGTCAAAAAAGGTTCTACACTCAAAACAAATTTAACATTTCCAAAAAAGTTCAATCTGGTCCTCTGGACATTAAATTTTTGACCTCAAAAAAGAACAAAGCAAAAAAATATAGAAACGTTTAGTCTCTCATCCAAGAGACTTCCTCAGTCTGAGGTGCTGTTTTCAGCTCAGTCTCTTAAGTAGCACCTTCTCAGAGTGGATCAACCAGTTTGCTGCTGACAACCAAAACCAGCTGATCACATGCTCAAGAAGGACCATCAGCCTAACAATGGGTCATTAGCACACTGATGGCTGTTCACTACTCACAGAGGGCTGAGTGATACTAGCAATCACAGCATTGTAAGAGGGGGACAGTTGAACCCGGAGGCCTCCACCCCTGTTTAATGATGGACGATTTCTTTTCACAAAGATGGCCTCCTTTACTCTTCTCTCAAACCATCGTTCCTCTCTGTCCAGGATTTGAACATCTTCATCCCTGAAAGAGTGACCGCTGGCCTGGAGATGAGTGTAGACCGCAGAGTCCTGGCCTGATGATGTTGATCTTCTGTGCTGGGCCATCCTTTTGGCCAGTGGCTGTTTTGTTTCCCCGATGCAAGAATGATCACAGCCCTCCTGACACTGAACAGCATACACAACATTACTCTGTTTGTGCCGGGGGACTGGATCTTTGGGATGAACCAGTCTTTGCCGTAATGTATTTTGGGGTTTAAAAGCCACTGGGACGTTATGTTTAGAAAATAAACGTCTCAATTTCTCTGATACTCCCTCAACATATGGAATGACCACTGGTCTGGGTCTGGGTTCCTCCTTTTCACCTGATGGCTGACTGGAGTCCTGTTTGGGTTTCTTCTCTGCTTTCAGGAAGGCCCAGTTAGGATATCCACATTGCTCTAGAGCCTGTTTTGTGTAGGATTTCTCCTTCTGCCTGGCTCCTGAGCTAGTGGGGACGCTGTCTGCTCTGTGATACAGAGTCCTGATGACTCCTAACTTGTGCTCCAAAGGGTGATGGGAGTCAAACTGCAAATACTGGTCTGTGTGGGTGGGTTTG